CAGCCCCGGGTGGCCGATAGTGGAAAATGGCGGAAAAGTAATAATGGACTTTATGATTGCAAATAATAAGGTCATTACTTTTCCACAATTTTCCACAGCTTGTCTGCAAGCGAGCTGCAATTTTTTGACAATTATCCCACAATTCAAGCAGGACCTTAGTAATGGCATTTTATTTAGTTAATTCTTACACAGAGCAGGGTGAACTCTTTGCCGTGAATTGTTTTTCAGCCCGAGATGGCCTTTTTCTATTTGGAAGTGAGTCATGAGAAGACTTCGGTTTTTACAAATGTATTTATTATCATTATTACAGTTCTTCCTATGAGCCTCAACTGAGACTGGGGCCCTATGGTTTTAGGTACTGTACGAACAAACAGCTAGAGCCAGCCTCTGCTGTGAGAGCTGCCAGTCTAAACAGACAACGGATGGAGAAAGGATGGTGAACTGAGACACGGAGAGAGTAAGTGATGGGCTGACCTTGGGCAAATCACGTCACCGCTCTGTGCCTCAGTTTCCCCATCTGTGTAATAGGGATAAAAATGCTGACCTCTTTTGTAAAGTGCTTTGAAATCTGCTGATGGAAAGTTGTTGCAGAGCTGGGACATGAAGCCAGGTCTCCTGAGTTTCGGTCCAGTGCCTTATCCACAAGAACATGCTGCTTCTCAAATGTGTGTGTTTGTAGAACACTTTGTGTGAACATCTCTTGGACTAGAGGCAATTTGCAAACTAGGTTTGTTACGTACGTTCACTATTCTCAATCATCCCCGTGTGACTGGTCCTATGCAGTCAGCAGCCCTGACAGCAGTCTCTGCCAGCAAAGCTTTGCCCTCATACCTATGTTCTTTTGCTAGTGGGGGGCAGATCACGGTAAACTGCTGTCTGGAGAGAGTTTTTTATTGCCAAAATGAGTGGGAAAAGCAGGAAGGCAGAGCGACTCCCAGTGCGTCAAGAGAATGAGGTGCAGCTTTATGCAGTGAGATTGGAGTATCTGGAAGAGCGTGTTGATCTGCAGAGGAATGTACACATCGTGGTTTTTGTGACAGAGAAGATGATGGCACTAGTGCAATCCCCTGGGAGAAGAGGGAGGAGCAGGAGGGCTCCAACAGCCAAGAACAAGGCATGGTGAAGGAGAGGGAATTTTTGACCACTAATCACATGATGAATGAAGAGGGGGGAAAACAGGTACTCAATAAGAAGTTGAACAAGTAACATCCCTGTGACGCTTTCCAAGGATGCCCAGAGTTGTGAGGCCCCTCGCTGCCACCTGCCCTTGGTGTGAGGAAGCATTGTCTGTGCCTGCTGGGGGTCAGCTCCCCAACGACATTGACCACGGGCAACACAAGCCCTCCCTGGTAGGTAGGCCTTGCAGGCCCTGCTGTCTCCCTACAAGTTAGCAATCAGCACACTCCAGCTCTTAAACCCTCTGAACCTCTTCCTGAGTGTCCACCTCTGGTCCACTGGACACGAGCAGTATTCACAGATTTGCTGCTTCCAAAGGAACAGTACCCCCAGCTTATCAGTTTCACCTCAGATCCCCACTCCACTTAACACCCAGCACTGACACACGTTTATAGTCAAATAAAGTAAAAGTTTATTTAACACAGCCTCGAGATACAAAGGGGGAGGGATAGCTCAGTGGTTTGAGCATTAGCCTGCTAAACCCAGGGTGGTGATTTCAATCCTTAAGGGGGCCATTTAGAGATCTGGGGCAAAAAAAATCTGTCAGGGGGTACTTGGTCCTGCTGTGAAGGCAGGGGACTGGACTAGACTCAACTCAAGGTCCCTTCCAGTTCTATGAGATAGGTATATCTCATATAAGTGATAGCAAGTAGAAATATTGGAAACAGATGGTTATGTCCATAACATGCATTCTAGACTTAATTAACAAAATACTCTGATGTCTTGTAGAGTATCGCTCCCCCACAATCTTTACAGAATTTCACAGCCAGGCTGGCTGTGACCCTTTCATAAGACAAACACAGTTCGCTTGCTTCCTTGATGAAGGAGTCTCTGGGTTTCCTTACATACCCCAACAATCCTCTGTCTTTAGTCAGAAACAGGACACCCCCTGCTGTTTGTTGTATCCTGTGAATTTCCTCTCTGGTAGTTTTCATAATCTTTTCTTCTGCCTGGGGCTCAGTATGAAAATAGACCCAACATTGCCATGAATTGCAGGCCTGACACACATATGACCAGTCAGGGAAATAGGCATCTGGTACCACTTGCCTGAAAGGAACATGTCTGAGTTATGTCACCTCCTGGTGACCTGCTTTAACTTTAAGACCGTAGGAACATAATTTTCAGTATAGATACTTAACTGCTTAAATATGATCTGTACACACATTTTGCAGTGATTATGTTAACCAGTGGGCTAGTGGCTCTCAGTAGAGACCTCACATGCCCCCTTTGGTGAACTATTTTGCCTACATCTGACCCAGGAATTCCTATAAAAAAAACCCTATGCACTCCTGTGCCCTCTGCCAGCTGGCATACAGAAGTCTCTGGGTCACAAGTCCCTTAATTCAAAATCCTCATTTCAGCTCCATTGACTGTATCATAAACTAAACACAACACAATAATTCCTCTAAAGGCTGCTTTTGACTGGCTTTTATTAAAACTTGTCAGCTCATTGGAACTGCCCATTAACTGATAACAAACCTACATCACTATAAACCCTACTCACTGATCCGAAGTTAAGGACCCCTTGTGCTGTAAAGCTGAGGAACTTACTGTGTATTCAGTTTGGTTGTTGTAGGCTTTTTCGTTGATCAGAGGCTAGGATCCCTTCTGGGCTCTAGCAGTTTGTGTCCTTCAGTTGCTGTTTTCTAAGATCAGCTACGCTCCTTTCTCTTCCCCAGTGTTATGTTACAGGATTTGCCTTTTGAGAGGCGGAGTCTGGCTTCCTGGATTTTCTTTCCAGGAAGTGGATTTTTTAGTGGAGATCAAAAGTTTTTTTCGAAAACAAGGTTAGAATTCAGAGTACAAAGCTGGATGTGTGATCAACTTGGAAGCCTGAAGGCCAGGGCCGGCTCCAGGGTTTTGGCCGCCCCAAGCAGCCAAAAAAAAAAAAAAAAA